ACATCTTTTATCTTTTCTTTTCATAAATTTTATTCTATTTTTGTAAATAATATAAAGTGAAAGCTAACTTCATAAATAGTATTTTGGTAAATACTAGCTTTATATTATTGGGATTTAAAGTCTACATATAGCTGTCGACAGTCTGATTATTAGTGCTTTCTTTCCTCTGATTATATCTTAGGATATTTCTAACTTTTTAAGTCTAATAATCCTTGTACAGAGCAAGCATTTTGTTAAATCTGACCTATACAAACTGGACAATAGGTTTAATTCTAAACACAATTGCTTATTGCTAAACTCTTATAGTATATTTGAGGCTATTGAATTTAAATCCTATTTTAAATAATTTTTTTCTTATTTTTATTTTTAATTCCTTTAAATAAAAGCTTTTTATTTAATATTTATACCTTCAAATTTGCTAAAGTTTGTTAATTTTAGTAAATTTTATTATAATACCAATTTTTTTAAACAATGTCTTAACAAGATATTCAACAAACTTATTTAGTTTGTTTAGAAAATATTATAATTTTTAAAAATATTACAAATAATTTTATATATAAAATTAATAATTGTCCTGATAAAGAATTTTATCAAGAACTTGAACCTGGAATTGATAAATTATGTTTTAGCTATTATAATAAAATTGTAGATTCTTATCAATGACAAATATCTACAATAAATAGAGTTAGAAGATTTACTAATTTAATTTCAATTAATAAAACTAATACTTTTATAGATTTAGTAGAAATTGATGAATTTAATACTTCAACATCTGATGGAAATTATAGATCTAATAGTCCTATAACCTTAATGAAAACTAATAATTTAGTAAATTTAATAAAATTAATTGAAATTCAAAAAAAAGAATTAACTAAAAATAATTTAATTGAAATTAATCAACAATTTGTAGATATTAAAGTTGATATAACTGATAATATAATTTTAATAGATAAAAAAATTTTAATCAATTAATTAAACTAATTATTCAAAAAGATTTAAAAATAGAAACTTTAACAAATCAAAATAATTTTATATCAACTAGATCAAATAATTTAGATAATTATAATTTTATAAATTATTTTAATTTAATAATATATAATTTAAATATTAAATTAATTTATTTTTTATAGTTCAAAATTATTCATTGTCATGGCTGATGCTGAAATTGGCTGATGCTGAAATTTGAACCTATTTTGATATGAAATTTTAAACAAATTTTGGGGTGTTTTTTTACTGCTTTTTTTTTATAATTAGGTTAGGATTTAGGGTCAGAATTTATAATTAAAGAGTATATGTGAATTCTAACAGGGCCTATATTTTAAAATTGGGACACCAAATTTCAGCATCAGCCAATTTCAGCATCAGCCGCGATATTCATTTTCTCAACAATTAGAATTATTAACAACTATATGATTAAAATATCAAAGAGGCAATAATGAATATTTATTAGATCCTAAACAATTTCAACAAATGATTGAATTAACTAAACTAAAATTAAAAGGATTTTTTAATGTAATGATTGATGCTTTAATTTCAAAAAAAAGACTTATTAAAAATATAGAAAAAGCAAAAAAACAAGTAGTTATATATTGCTATTTATTAGTTGGAATAAGAAATAAATTTGCAAATAATTTTAAATTAGATCTCGGACTTTATTTACAATCATCAGGAATGACTAATTCTGAAATTAATACATTATCAAATATTGGACTTAGTGTTCATACAAAAACAATTCAAAGATATAAAAAAGATATTGCAAAAGCTCATTTAACAAAACTTAATGAATAGTTTTATTTAAATATGTTATAATAATTTAAATTTTATTTATTTTTTATTTAAATTTATTAATTAAATTTATTATTTTTTAGTCAAATATTTTTTATTGTT